CCCCTGAATAAGACAACATTATTAACCTGAGTGACATGAGACCACTCTCTTTCCCTTGGTTATTCAGCTAAAACAAATGGAAAGCAGCCCCAATGTTGTTTTGTACAGAAAGGCTGATTGGATCTGTTAATATTTGGTGGTTACCGTGTTGGGGTAACAACTGGGCTATTCAAATAATTTCATATTTGCTGCTCATGGACGTATGACATCATGGATTAATAACCCTGTCATAATGTGGCAATGACAAAAACACATCTTGTATTTGGTCACAGGACTTGTTTGCAGTTGTGAATAAAACTTTTCTGTCTGCTCGTCTTCTCTCCATCCCTCCCTCTTTTCTCTCTCCTCACTGCTCCCTCTTCTCCTCCTGGGCTTCTTTGTTGATGACGTTTTTGAAGAGCGTGATCAGCGGCCTCTGGCTGCGCTCGTCCCAGCTCTTCATGAACCCGCCGTAACGCTTGCTTGCCGGCAGGCCGCCCCAGCGAAAGTGCTTCATCTTGTACATTTCATCTTTTTTCTCGTGGCTGTCATCTGGCGCCTCCTCCTGGCCCCCCTCTGCTAACTTCCCCTCGTTATCGTCCATCGTCATCATCTCACCAGCGAGCTCCCGCTTTTTCATCTCACCGGGGAAAAGCTCCGCCGACTCCTCCTCCAGACCGTTGGTGGTATAGATTTTAATCGGGCGGCGTTTTCGCCCAACAGGCTTCCCCCAGCGGAAATGCTCCATGGAGTAGGAGCGTTTGGCCTGAGGAGAGGAGAAGAAGGGTGGAGGGAAAGGTAAAAGAGAAAGAGGGCCCGATGGGGGAGGAGGCTGCAGGTGGGCATCACCAGGGATGATGGGCTTCTCGTTGTTTTCAAAGTGGCAAAGCTGAATACACTCCTGCAGGACAAAACGTGCAAACCATCAAAGGCTATCATCTGACCAAATTTTAGATGATAAAGTTTTCCCATAATTCCCTTTGCTCCAATCTCAAATGATGGGAGTTCAGGTGATCCCAGGCTGAAAACCCACCCAATGCCACCAGTGAAACCCAGTAAATGACTTCACAGTGACTCATCTCATATATACAGTCCATCATATACTGCATCAAATTAATGATTTGTTTGTGGCCTTGAATTTATGGCCTTCTGTCCCTCGTTTTCTGTCATTTCTATAACATTTTACATCAAGACGTCAGTTATCGATCAGAAATGCTGAATGGTGAAATCACCTCTGTAATTCTACTTGGTCAGCAGCACTGACAAATCTGTCTGTATGCAACCGTGGGTCTTTTTTATCAGCAACATTTAAAGCCCTTAAAATCATCTGTGCACGGTAAACTTCTCACTATTTATCCTCAGCTCTTCTCGGCCTGCAGTTTCACAGCTTTGGTTCAGCCTCAGTGTGTGTGTGTGTGTGTTTACCATCATGCTCCTCTCTGAGTTGACCTCCTGACAGACGGGATGGTCCCAGCATTGACTTTCAGCTCCTCTGGCCACGCCCACTACGATTACAGCCACCAATAGCAACACAGGACACATTCTCTGTGCATCTGCTGCTGAAATACACAGTACAAGACAACCACAGTTACAGTCAAGTTAAGTTCATCCTGGCTTTAAATCAGTGTCTTCTTCCAAAATGCACTCTGATAAGATAAGATAAGATAAGATAAGATAAGATAAGATAAGATAAGATAAGATAAGATAAGATACAATAAGATAAGATAAGATACGATAAGATAAGATAAGATAAGATACGATAAGATAAGATACGATAAGATAAGATAAGATAAGATAAGATAAGATAAGATTAGATAAAATAAGATAAGATAAGATAAGATACAATAAGATAAGATAAGATACGATACAATAAGATAAGATAAGATAAGATAAGATACAATAAGATAAGATAAGATACGATACAATAAGATAAGATACGATACGATACGATAAGATAAGATAAGATAAGATACAATAAGATAAGATAAGATAAGATA